GAACTTTTACAATGCTTNATGTTTTGAATGTGGATCGGAGAAACCAGATTCGTCGTGTGTGATAATTGACCTTCTAACAACGTGTTTCATTCAAATTCATTGCTGTTAGTAATGAAATAATGCTTTTGTTGATCGATTGTCAGTTCATATCGCAAAATGTTTAAACATTATTTGGTAATATCATATTGACGAAGTGTTCTTTCGAGGAAGTAATTGTCATTTAGTTAGTACGATATTTATCATATAGTGAACATCGTTACTATGGGCCAGCTCTTCCGTGAATTTTAAATTCGAGCAAGATGTGCTTGTCCAATTCAGGTGAATGTTGTGATTAAGGATCAACAAAACAGTAACTCTTTGAAGCGGATAACACTTCTTTCATAATAATTTTTAATATCACCACTATGTCACAAACTCGCTATTGAAGAACCGTTTATGCATATTTCAGTTATGAGTTATTAACGGGGATTGTGGTTTGATTGATGAGGCAGAAAAAAGATTTTTCGGCAGGTGCATATCTCCATAACAAATTATCCATCACACGACTTTTTGCTTTGTTATTACTGAGGGCAAATCGCTCAGCTCTAATGGCTTGAAACATCAGCTTTCATTTACGATCTATTCGGCAGCAGGCATTCAGTATTGCTTGTTTGTGGAATGTTTAATACGCCGATCGTCATAGATCTATTCGGTTGAAGCAACCTTGAAACGTTATTATTATTTAAAATCGTTGTTTATTGTAGATCTTGAAAGATACTGTTGCTTGTTTCAAACACCTACTCTGAGCGATCATTGGACGCATGTTCAACAGATCAAGCGTTGAATATGCGTCCGGAAATGTCAACGAAGGAAATATGTGATATTAATGGTTTTGGTGACAATAAAGAGACACAAACTCGTAATGCGTTGTTACTGCTGCTTGAATAAATGACTTGAAACTATAATATTACGGCATCAGCATTAGCTTTCGTTAACGAGCAAATTGTTTGACACAACCGAATCGAGTAGTGATCAATTGCATTGTTTGAGCATTCCGTAGCAAACGTAACATCACGCAACGATCTCACTTCTCATGAAGTGCTTCACAAGTTTTCCTATTATTCAGTAAATTAAAGGGCGGTGAAAGAATACGAAGTATTTTTTTGGATAGTCGCATGTAATCTTAGTAAATGCTCACTGCGATGAGACATGAATACGGTAGTGTTCTCGATCTTGAAACGTTCATTCAATGCACACATGTACGTGATATCGAGATGAATTTGTGTCTGTCTCAAAAGCATGACTTTATATACTTGCTGCCGCTGCTGCTGCTGCTGCTGCTACATCAGCAGTAGAATACGCTGAAAATGATGGATATTATTCGTTTGTAAAAATGTATAATTTTCAAAAAGCCATACACAATCCTGTATCGATTGCAGTGAGCCTAGTTGAAAGTGTAATTGTAATACGTGCGCACAAACAAACACATGGAACTTCATATAGCATAAAACGTTCGAGCGAACATAAATCATTCTTATAAAGACATGACATATCCATTGATTTTTGTATGTGAACCACATACCTAATTTTGCAATACGCAATAACGTCAATTTTATGATTTGTTTTCTTGCTCTATTTAACTCTCTCTCATATCACACTCGGAAGCTTTCAATAGCATCGGTTTGATAGGGTGAAAATTCTCAGGAAATTTAGCAGCAGGAGTGGATTAAGTTACATACAATAAGTTTGTTCACTTCGCTTTTTTGACTTTCTCAACAATTCTGTCTAAAATAGCATTACTCAAAGTCAATATTTTAGTCATATTGGTTAGTGGATCACAGCTAAGGACAAAATGAATTCTGTTGAGTAATCGATTAAACTTAAATTGCCGTTGATAAAACTCGTCACTGTTCTCAACTGGAATACTTTCAGATGCAAAAGCAAAACAGAAATCTCTTGGAATTTGCTATTTGTGATGAAATCACTTTCGTTCGTGTGTTCATCTTCTAACAGATGAGCAGAAATAGCTGCCTCCTCGTCAGTTGAAAAACAGTTTTTAGTGACGTATCTACTGAGCACAGAAAGTCATTGCAAAATCATGAACAGCTTTTCTCGTGGTATCAGTTGCTTACAACCAAACTTTCTTTGCCTCCAAGGCTGCTGAACCTGAAGAAAACCACTCCCACCAATTGCATGAAGATTTAATATTCGTGTGGAATTAATTCTCTACAGATGCACTCCATTTCATGTTCAATCGCCCACTCGCAACAACCTCTTCTGAGTTTCAGTCATTCCAAATTTGAATTGTTTTGTTCCGTTAATTCCTTCAAAACAACTTTCACTGTCAATAAAAACTCACAAGCGTGATGAACTAATTGATTGATGTTCGCAGTTAATTAACGCCAAATCTTAGACAGCAGGGTTCATACAGAGTGCTCTCTCTATGTTGTATGTTCACGTCTTCGTTAGTTTATCTCTTTCATGTTTCACTTAACCCTCACTTTCGACACTGTAACTTGTCGTAAAAAACAGTTTGTAATAGTCGTCAACGTCGAGAAATATTTCTGTTGCATCATTTGTGCATATATGAAGTGCATTTCTTCAATATATGAAACAACTCGATGAATTCACTCGAATAATTCGGTTACTTCAAAACTTTCGAAACTCAACTAGAATATCAGTTCAAACTCGAATGCTCTCTTTTGGTTTCGAATGCAGATGCGATTTCGACCTTGTTGTTTTCATACCCATTAATATAAACGAATTGGCAGAATATATTTATCCGTAACTTTCCATCTTTTTTTTTTCATCGGAATTTCATCGAATCTTTTCTTCGCTAAGATAATCAGAGGCCAATAAAAGGTCATCTGAAGCTGTCTTTGTAACTGATCGGTGAATGGTTATCTGCAGTTGAAGCGGTCACTATCTGAAGCTGTCGTGCATCTCGAGTTTCGGAATAATTCTCGGAATGCTCTCGCTATTAAGTTACCACTCAAGCGTATATTACTTCAGGAATCATATTTCATTTCATGTCTGTTTATATTGTTCGTTGTCGTTCAAAAGCACGCAACGTTTACTCAAGACAGCCGCATAGCACCTAGCAACAGTATTTACGACATTCATATGCTCATTTCTGTGTTTAACATTCAACTCTTGTTCATCTGTTTGATTATTTTTCTGTTCCACTTCAGACGTATTCATCATTAGTTTTCGCGTTTTTCTTCACTCTCTATCGCCTTCACCTCAAACATGCAATACTTATCATATCACTTTCTTTCTTTCAACAACAAACTTATATACCATTCGTGCCGAGAAATACTGAACGGTGTCAAGTTATTTGAAAATTGGTTTCACAATCAGCCAATTGAAATGCCTTTTTTGGATTTACAACTGATCACTGACTTTGCGACTATTCATCGCTATGGTAGCAACCATGAGATTGCTCGGAAGCAATCCGCAAATCATGAATTCAAGAAATGTAATTTTTTGCCGTTCTCAGTTCAGACAATTGATTAAAACTGATTATGGTTGGTTGCACGCTTCAAATCTCTACATCCACTGTTTGTTTAACATTCTTCACAAAGCAAATTCCTCTTTGCAATTACTACAAAAAGTGCACTTTAGCAGCACTCGTCATAATCGGCTGAGCATATGATACTGCGACAATACATTATTGTTTGCTGAAGCATCTTTTGAGAGTCATTTTTTTGCTTTTTACATTCATCGATGGTATCATTCGATAAAAGAGATTATCGGTTGGCACACTACATCTTTTCAGGCAAAAGAGTGGCAAATAAAAAATCTAAGAACAAGTCCACTCATTTTTCTATTATAACCAAAAAAAAGCAGCTAAGCTATCATTTTTACAAGTTTAATGCCCCTCTGCAACAGCCACCAATCAGATTCAAAGTCAGCACGGAAATGACCAAAAATCCATTAGTAATGTTTTCTTCCTATAAGGGTGCTGCAAATTTAGAAGCATAGGCGAGATAATCGAGTTGTGCTGAACTTATCTTGTCAGGTTGAAATGCAAAACTAAGCTTCGTTCGTGTCTTAACAATCGTAACAAATGTCTATCGATCAGTGAAGCTAATGAAGAGAAAAACCTTCGAAAAATGAATTGATTGGCAGCAATTGCTCTTCACTGCAGACAGCAACCGATTTTTACCACTTATTATCGCTGATGAAACTATGTTTAATTTGAACGATCATTTAATCAGTATTTCAGTTTATTTACTTTATTTAACATTCTTCATTTAACATATTGTTAATTGTGTTGTGCAATGTCAATACATTTTTTTCGTTTTCTTCGTCCTCTTTTATGGGCATGTTTTATTTGCTGGTGTGCCTCACTCAGTTGAATCAAGTCTTGTCAACCTAACCTAATTATGGCTCGTAACAATTAGGTCGGATATTCAACATCAAGAAGGTTACAACATACAAATGTAATTAATGGCTGTAAATTTCTCTATGTTCTCTGGAAACACTTCTCGTAAATCAAATGAACAATTTGTGACGGTGACTCAAAAGAATTAATTGAATTTCATTTGTTGCAAATGCATTGTATTCTGTTCGTAAAGTTGCTTTATGAGTGTATATAATACGTAAATGACTACGGATAATGAATGAATAAACAGCGATTGTATTTAAATGTGCGAGCGATAAAATTTTGAAATCATAAGTGCAAACCGACAACAGATTTGTTGGGACGGACGTTAATTATTGTGTTTCGGAACGTCGCCCACCACTGACCACAATATAATAATCTTTTACAGCTCTACAGTGATATATTTCACATCACAGTGCGTTTCGTTGATTCGTTCACTCAGTTTGGCTGTAATCTTCTTGTTTATCACTCATGCAATTGAGCAGGCGCTATTGAACGGGTATTCATCCCTACAAACGGTATTTTCTATTCATCTTCATATCATTCCTCGTCACCTGTTCAATTCCTCATATTCTGACTGTTAAGTCGATTCAACTTCGTCTATCATCGTTGAAAAGTTATGGCTGAAAACTTGATGGATAGCTACAATCCACTGTACGATGTTCATTTACGGCAATACTTTGCATCACCGCATATGCAAAAACACCTCAGGAACCTTGGTCTAGTGAGTACCACTTCTGCTATCTTTTCACTTGCACAAGAAATTTGAAAATAGCGAAATATCTAGTCTTTGTGACCGTTATGATCCTTT